GAGACTTCGTTCCACACAAAGCCACTGCCCGTAACGCCCCGTCTCCTCTCCTCCTCCTCATCGGCGTCCCTGTCGCCAACCTCCTTGTCCGTAGCGTAGAATCGCTTCATGTCCCCTCCGGCTGAGAACTGCAACAACAACAACCACAGCATTTACAGCGACTACTCCACTGCGACTATTGTTGCGGTCACCACCTCTACACCTACTACCTTTTTATCCGTCAACACTTTCGAGAAACGATCATCCAGTTGGACCTTCCGTACGGCCATAGGGACCTTATTGAACCGCGCGGAGTCCATCACGAATCTGCCAGAGGTTCCTCATCACATTCTGAGGCCCTACCCGTCACTACCTCTCATCCTTATCCTCATCAGCTGCCTTTGACGTCGCCGTCTTCACGACACTACTATTGCTTCTTGAGCCCTCACTGGCCCTACGGTCAGCAATGCCCTTGCCCTTCTTAGGGTTGGACTTCTTGTTGGCTGGAGCCATCACGGTAAGACACCGGAAAAGTGGCAAATTATTCCACACTCATCACAGGACCGTCGCGCGCGCCATTCTGATCGATTATCAGCGCAGTTTGTTTTAGTAACGGCAATCCTTCGCTTCACCATCAACACCATGTCATTCGATGCCGCTCGAATGGTAAAGGACTTCGAGAAGACCTCTAGTGATGTTTCTGGTAGGGACTAGCTCGTCTCGGCCTATACATTTCCCTCTGCTTCCCTGCGCGCGACAAATGAGGTTAATCCCCCATCGCAACGGGACTTTGTTGATCTGAATAGTCTCGCTTCAACTCTTGATATCAGTTGTTAATTGTCTCAGTGATCAAGCAGAAGCTGAACGGTATCCACGGCAAGCTGAACACGATGAAGACGAATATCGAAACGGCCTCGAAGCGGACCTCATCTGTATCCGACAGTGAGGACCCTAAGATACTACCACAATCACATCGATTCCTATCAGAGCAACGAATATCACATATCCAGGATATTATTAGGGAGCATTTGAAGGCCGTGACAGATGCAACTCCTGCTGCCGAGACCGCTGGTAACGACCTGTAGTCAGCACTGCTCTTCGGGGCCACTGTTCCCTCAGCGATGTTGATTCAGGCAAAGATCCCAAGAGTTGAGACGAGGTTCGCCTCGGCCTCTAGGGGAGAACACTATATAAGACTTCGACGACGAGGGCGATGATATCCTCCTATGTGTATACATGAACATCCTTTATGTTGTTGGTCTTCACTATTAGCCTTCTCGTGTTGTCAATGACTCTAGATATAGAAGTTCCCAGTGACGGCTAAGCACCTCTGTGCTGTGGTATAGCCCGTCTTCCTCAGGGCTCCAAGTAGGACCCAAACGTATCGTTGCTACAACACATCCTCCGAGGAACGTGGGGGGCAGCTACAATGAGGCTAAAGGATCTCTGGAGTAGTCGGCCGGCTAAGACGAGGGTTGGTACTACTGACCCCGATCCCCCACTGAGGACGGCAGCCATCCCGTCCCCTCCTCAAGCTCGGCATGGGGGCTTATCCAGGTGTACCGGACGATCACATGGAGAGCCTCTGAGTACTACTTTGGGGGAAAATATCGTGGCTGTGGTCCTGCTGCACCATTCAGGCGTCCTCAGCGTTCAAGGCCCTCTCTAGGTGGTAGCAGGCTCTGTAACATGAGGGCGAATAGAGGAGCCCATGAGAGCAATGGTGGATTGGAGGTCCATCCAGTTGACCGAATCGTCCACACTGAACATACTGTCGATAAGGAGACGAAGTGATCGTGAAGTGCAGCTATGTAGTGGATTAAGCCGAACCCAAGTATACTTGTTGTGGATAGAAGTAGTAGGTTTATGAAGTATGTTTATGGAGTAGCCAGTATTAATTCAACCTGTCCATGGACCTCCGAGCAGCCTATCTCTATCCCAATAGGCACGACTGGCTATATCCGAGGAATGGGGAAGTAATAACCCTGTGATAACCTTTCCTATGCATCAACTCGTTGTTTGGGATGTACAGCTACTCATCACAGGAAAATAGCATGCAAGTATCGACTCAGATCTATGTAATAATCCTGCGTTCAAATACGTGCGAAGCTATCTCTAGGCACACACCCCATGCAAGTCCCATGCATATATTCATAGTCTTATTCTACTCCATATTTTATCCTCGTATTTTTTGACCTCGTAGGCTCTATAGCCGCTTCCATGGGAGGGGAGGTCCGCTCATTGGTATCAGTCCTGCCAGCCGACCGGTAGTTTTCAAAAGGCGTTCAACAGTAAGAACCAGAACTCCATACCTCGGTGGGATGTCAGCAGATTAGAAGCGCCATTGAATACATTCCTAGTCGCGTCGATAATTTCTAATAGGAGTTCTATATTCCTCCTCCTCCACCTCCTCGACCAGTGCAATACTACAGGTTGATGGCAACAACATAGTTGAATCATACTTCATAGCAAACACGAGTCAGTCAACTTCACAATGAAACACACAAAATTGGAATAGTGACACTTTGAGAAATACCACAACTGCACAGTGAGCAACGGCGACAGTCTTGTCATCATCGTTCTCGTTGTTGTCAACGTATACTTTTGGGCTAGTCCGAAAATATCCAACTCGGGTATAATGAAGGGAACGAATAGTAATAATAAAAGGCCATTGAGGCCTAATTCTCGTTATCCAAATTATTGATAGAAACGAGTCTTACGGCCAGCAGTGGAGTTCAAGGAGCTGCCCGAATACCGGCTAGAGGAAACCCGCGTCGAAGCTGAGGCTTCGCACGCCATGTCAACCAGCGCTCTCACAGTACGGCGCTTGGAATTCATTCGGGCTCCGACTCGATCGTACAAGTGTTCGAGTTGGTGCCTATCACGGGACCGACGGCCGTCAAGTAGAGCAGGTAGTTGCTGGGCATAAAAGTCCACAAATGTAGCATTCACGTCGTTGTCACAGTAGAGCCGTTCAGCCTCCATTCGTAGACCACTAGGGGCAGTCCCCACGTCCAACTCGGCCAGGAGTAGCATCACCTCACACCCATTGAGGGTGTCAACCGTCGAGAATCGGTCCGTCTCGGGATGCACCTGATCGGCTATCCAATAAGGAGTTCCATCAGAACTCAGTCTCCCCGATGGACGTTCCGCAACAAGATCACGGATGAAGTCTGAGGGTACTGAACCACCTCCAGGACAGTCGAAGACCTCAGGACGGCAAGTGGCCACTGCATTCGCCAGTCTTAGCGCTCGCGTACGGCTTTCCTGACGTGTAGTGCGCCCCTTCAAAGGCTCAAATATAATCCCTCGAATGACCGGATCGACATAGCACTTCGTGAAGAGCAGAGCGATGATCCTAGAGAAGAACGAAATGAAAACAACGCCAATGACTTTAAGACTCACCCGATGCTCCACATATCAGTTTTCGAGTCACAGGCGTCCACATAGACCTCTGGCGCCACATACGGATGGGTACCACATACGCGCCCTTGCGTGTTGGCAAAACCGAAGTCTATGAGCTTCAACACACCATTCTTGGCGAATATGAAATGCTCCAATTTGAGGTCCCTATGGACCACTCCAGCTCGATGAATATGTTGGACGGCTCGCCACACTTGTGCTAATATTTCAGCCGCCTGTTCAGAGGTGACCACCTTCCTCCGCCGTTGAAGCCAGGCATGGAGATCTCCCTCTCCTCCGTCGATGAGCTCCAACACCATCCACACACTATCACTATCCTCATACACCTCATATAGTCGGCAAACGTTGGGATGTGGCTCTATTTGGAGCATGGCCGTCGCTTCGGAGTAGAGCAAATCAGAGGCGTCCTTCTCGGCCAAGGACTTCTTCTTGATGCACTTCGCCGCGAAACGCTCCCCCGTGGCCTTCCGCCTGGCGACATACACCGAGCCCGAGAACCCTTTCCCGAGCAGTTCGCCGATTTCGAAGTCTGTGGTGATCCGTCGTCCTTGGTGCACACGAGGATCATTGTGCCGACCACCACCATCACTGAAGAAAGACTCGGCCACGGCGGGCTCCTTGACTTGCCCACGAAGCTGGCGTAGGGTCACTCGAGGTCGACCTGAACGCTCCGTAGGTTGACGACTTTTCTTCGATTTAGCGGTCTTAGGGGATAGAAGGCTGAAAAGGCCAGAAAGACAATGACAAGAGCCTGTGTAGGGCATACGTAAAAACAACCTATGAGGAGTCTATATTCCAAGACTACATTAGCGGTGACCCGTACAGCAGCATCTGAGTCGACCATCAACCAACAGAAAGCTGCCTCTGCTGGCCGCAGGCCGACTTCACGTCGTAAGTCACAACAGTTCGAAATTGAGGACATGTTCAACGCAAGATGACCACATTGGGACAACACACATGAACAAATCAGAATGATGTCGTTGTCGCCTTCACACACACAGGCAGCGCCACCTCATGCATCATCACTACTACCCCGAACGAGTGCATATATAACATAGCCGGCATACATGACCAAGAGAGAGGCGCCCATCTGCTTGTTAAGGACCCAATTGTTCAGAATCACTGTCACCAAGAACAGCAACAGAACCAATGCCAGAATGGCTATGTATTGCGGTAAGGTGTCCTTGGCGTCAGGGAAGAGCACATGTTTCCCCATCGCCAACTTCAACGTCCATGGTATGCCAAGGCCAAGCATAATATCAAACACGTTGGAGCCCACGGCATTCGACACGGCCATATCTCCCTCACCTTGTTTGGCCACCGCTATCGAGCCCAGTGCATCGGGTACGCTGGTGCCCGCCGCCAGGAAGACCAGGCCCATGACCAACGAAGGGAGGTTGAGCAGGCAACCCAACCTGTTGCAGGCGTCGACCATTAGGTATGTCAAAGCCCCTATCCAGAATATTGACAGACCAAATAGGATCCAATAATGGGATGGTCCAGGCATGGTGTACTCCCAGAATATCAATAGTGGATCTCGCAACCATCTCCTCCACCCTTTGAGCTCGTCATCTTCCTTATCTACTTGGGCCGTAGTGTCACCACTCTGGCCCGACCCAAAGGCAGGAATGGACGACAGTGACGGTCGAAAGCTTCCAATAACCCCATCCTGCGAGCCGAAGTGATGGAGCTCGGTGGTCGCAGTACGGCTCTTCATTCGGAACTTGTTCACACCGTAATGGTACGACACTCGTCGGGAAGGAGGGTAATACACGGACTCACGACATGAGTGCCGCCTCACACTCCCTCGCCTCGTACCCGGGGCCTGATCCTCTTCCTCTGTCTGGTTGGGCAACTGGACCGGTAATTCGGAGTCAAGACCACCAGTACCACCATCCACTGGTCGAGGACTCACCACTGGTGACTTAGGGTTGGTCTCCGGGATAGGTACACTGTCACCACAGGCGACAACCGGCCCGACCTCTGTCTCTTGGGCTCGGGCACCGACCTTGGCCGCAATGGCCCCATTGTACTTCATAAATATGCAGTATACTATATAGGAGCACACCAGAAGAAGGGCTTCCCAGATGACCACTTCCTCATCTAGCAATACAAGGGACATTTCTAGGATGGCCACGACGTAGAAAATGGTGTCCCTTACGAGAGGGTACCAGTTTATCTTCAGCGACTGTCCAGCAAACAGACAGGTCGCACCAATGATGACCAATATGTTGAATATAGCAGAGCCAATGATCGTACCAACACCACCTTCGTTAACGATGAAGAAGGTGGCCACCACCGAAGTGAAGAGCTCAGGTGCGGACGACCCCGCGGCCATGAAGGTCGCACCAGCCACGTCCGGTGAGAGACTGAGGGCGACCGAGATGCCCTCCAAGGCGATGACGAAGTAGTCGTCACACATCGAGCCGAGGGCCTTGAAGGTGTATAGCATGAGTAGAAGCGAGACGATGAGGTCCAAGGGGGCCTCCAAGGAAGACGTGCCTGGAGTGTCCGTATCGCAGTCCATGATGCCGGTACAGGAACAGTCACCAAATATCATGCCCAGAATAGAGGCCTCATCCTCAGCACCACTGAGCCGTCGGACCAACACGCCAGTGGGGGCATAATCAGGGAGTTGGGGCATGACCATAGGCGCTCCCACCGGGACCAAGGTCCAGGCGAGAGCCCAGGTGTATCTAAAGGGTAAGCAATAGAACATCGTGGTGCACTGATGGTCACTTACATGATCATAGAAATGAAGCGTCCTAAGACAAAATAATGTCACTAACGAACACTGAAGGAGAATGATTCCAGTAGCGAAATCACTGAGGGCGTCCCAAGACGGTGGTCCCCACACACGATGATTGAACCACTTCCCCCTAGTTGTCCGAAGGTAACGTGAATAACCCTGGGTATGCGACCGACTGAATTCATTGTATTCCTATGACTCCTTTGGCTCCAATGAGATGCGTTCGAGTCCAGAATCTGGCATTCTACTATATCAGCGCAAGTTCGATCTAGAGGGACTCTGGTGCAGTATGCGGAGTTGGCCCATCACGAATGAGACCATCAAAAGAGCTTTTAATGATTCGTTTAGGACCGAGGGAAAGAGGAATTGTACGGTGGAAATTGCGTTGTTCAAATTGAGGAAACTCAAGATTGTATAAGATGGTCAAGATTCTATCTACTCGACAACTCCACCAATGTCACTTCCTTCTCTGGCCGGACCTAATGCGGCGATACGAGGGCTTGCATTTTGTCGTACATTACGCTACGTCTACCGACGGTTCAGTGCAGTTGCTGAAGGGCCGACAAAAGAGGTCCCCAAGTTGACCATCACCCCTCTAGAGATCGCCGGCTTGCCAGGTAGGGCCCCTCTTGTGTGGGAGTCCACATACCACAATTTGGTCTCAGTACTAAAGTTCAAAGGGCGAGTCATGATCATAGACACTGTGGAGGAGGATGCTAGGGCCGCTGATGCATTCGATAAGGAGACCCTCTTGGGCTTCGATAGTGAGACCAAACCCAGTCTGGTCCCTGGGGTCACCAACAAGACCGCTATCATACAGGTCCGTGGCTAGACCAAGGTAGCTTACTAGCGTTACTGTTCATCAGATTGCCTCTTCTTCGGTCTGCGGTGTGTGGAGGGTCCGACAGTTGGACGTATTGCCGCCCACGTTGACCAAACTGCTGACTGACCCATCCATCACCAAGGCTAGTCAAGGGGCCACCTCGGAGGTCACCACGGTCTATCGGGAGTTTTCTGGTACAGGACCGAACCCTCTTCCAGTGGCACCCTTCGCTTTGGGACAGGTCTCAAGTGCCAAGGGTTCGTCGATCTGCACTTGCTGGCCATGGGACTACGCTGCACCCCACGGAGCCTACAAGGCCTTTGTGCCCTCTTCCTCCATAAACGCTTACTAAAGGCGGAGAGGATATCCAACTGGGAGCAGGTGGGGCGTGGCCCTCTGGTCACCAACTCACCATCGGGTCGAGTAGGTACCACTGAGCCCGAGCCAGCTAGAGTATGCTGCCACTGATGCTTGGGTATCCAGACAGGTTTTGGAGGCTATGAGGGCCGCCTTTTGTGTGGACAAGTACTGTACCAAAGCTGACCATCACATACTGGTCCTTTCAGGCTTAGTTTTGAGAGGGCGGTTAATCCTGATGACCTTGGATTGGTCCCAAGGACCCCAGCGTCGATCAACCAACCATTACGTGTACACCTTGCCCCTGCTATCACTGGTCCAAGCCTGTCCAGATACCCTACCAGAATAGCCCATATGTGGGCCATGCTGGGCCAGTGGAGCCCACATCTACCTCGAAAGCTGGTGTGAAGGCCTTGGCAACCCTATGTGTGGAGCGAGCCTACGTCCTTACGGTCGAGTCATTCGAACCGGCAATGGGTACGGACCCCTGTGGTGGCGGTATTGGTGACAGTAGTTGTGTGCTTGTTTTTAGGAGGCTTTCGTTGTTGTTTGAAAGTGAATCTACGGCATGAAGGCCGACCCCACGTACTACAGTGTCATTCCAACGAGGTCCTCTCTGCTCACTCAGGCCGCTGCCCCTCACGGTCCTTCTCAGGTCCATACGTCTATTAGGGCAGCGCAGGATGACGCCGCTGATGTAATGTTGACGGCGATAAACCAGCTCATAGGAGGACCCCCTGAGGGTATGATGACCAGCACTACTGCTGACTCGGTGACATGACCGTTTCTGATGGACCGAGGCTTTGGTTGGAGTAGGGCCATGTGGAGGTGGTCTCATGGTTTGAGATTATTGATCTACTGCTCGTATGGAACCTCAGCTATCAGTCTCTTCGTCGTCGCCATTGCTATTGAGGATGCTCAGTGCCTTGGCGGTCTACCAGAACAGGCTCTCTGATGAACTGGCCAAGACGGAAATTGAGTGATATGGGATGATGGTGTGGTGGGCATGGCTTTGGTGGCAGGTACGAGGAGGACCCTCCAAAGGCCATCACTACGGCCACAAGGATCAGTCTGCAACAACGACGTGTTGCCTATCGAATGAGACTCATTGGGGACTGCTACATTGCTGATCTCGCGGCCCTTCAACGGACCTTCTCACAGTGTGTGGACACTAGTGGGTTGGACCACGGGGGTGGCTCCACGGTCAACGATGGATTCTTAGTCACACCACCACAGTCGTCGACCCCTCAAGGAGCGGTCGTGGTCCCACAGACCCCTATAAGGCTGGACAGGCCACATGTTGAAGGATCGAGACCAAGCTCGTCGGTGATGTCCCGAGATGGTGTAGGGTCGGAAGGGACAGAAGGCCCATGCACCACACCGTCCCCGCCCGGGTCCACCAGCATCTCTACTGCCTCTTCGGAAATGGTAGTAGTGTATTGTAGGCACTCGAGGCAGTGTATTCCCTTAGTCCATGCAAGAGCACAACTCTGATCAGTGCCCTTCTCCCATACTCTCAACTCGGCGGCAGTCGACACGTGGCTCGGGCAGTGGTAGAAGGTCCACTCATAAGAAGTGTGAGGTGTCAGGGTGCACGAGACTGGCCCGAGGGGTGGGCCCTAAGGGTCGTAGATGCGCCTCACATGGTGGAGGTCGACGGTGCTTTTGTGGTCGAGTCGCTCGAGGGGCGTCCAACTACTGTGGTACTCATGGTGGGGGCCGTAGGTGTCACCAAGAAGGCTGTTCACATGGGGCGGCCGGGGCCAGCGACTACTGTGTGACCCATGGAGGAGGGAAACGGTGTACGGTTCCACAGTGTTCTAAGGCCACCTGTGGTAAGTCGGACAGATGCTTCGAGCACGGTGGAGGCCGCCGATGTGGTCATCTAGGATGTAACCGAGGAGCGGTAGGTATCACCGAGTACTGCATTAGGCATGGTGGCGGCAAGAGATGTGAGTTTGAGGGTTGCACCAAAGGGGCCGTCAGCGGTGGGATGTGTGTGAGGCATGGTAACATGACCAACAGGACTCCCGCTCGGATCATACAAACCGTCAAGTCGTTGCCGGATACTGCAGTGGTCTCGCCAGGGCCCATCGTGGCTCAGAGTTTCGGCCAAGTCCTGAACAAGCCATTCCTAGGTCTGAGTGGTAGTAGCTGTAGCTCAGTAGTCAGGAATGAGTAGTGATGATATTTTTGATGTGCGTAGTGTGACTATATTTCAGAGGCATCATGCAGGCCATGTTTCATCCTATACATGTTGTGTTGTGGAGCTCAGTTGGCTGGTCTATAGAGTTAGTTGGTCTAACGGCGCAAATGACCGTTGATACTAACTCGGAGCAGTGGTCGGGGTCGTTGAAAGAATCAAGATGGGATTGCCAGCCCATGAGGAAAAGATCGCGTTATCACGCAATAAAGTCATCGCTATCAAGGAGGGAAGTATCCGCCTAACTATTAGACGTTGGTGCCAAAGTGGAAGTCTCTCTCACTATTCGTAATGATCATGTTGGACGCCGTAGATCCCGCCTAAGGGTCCGCCGTATCGGTGTGAGTAATAGCATCTTAACGGGAATGTCCTCGTTCATCGTGGCATACAATTGAAGTTAGCTGGTATGACACCAGTGGTGTCGGATCGCCCAAATCTTGTATATAACAGATACCAACACATCGTGTCGTTACGAGTATCTCTCCGACCCATACTATCCTTCTGGACCGAGTAGAGTGAGACCCCGATTGGGCAACTCTGATACTAGGAAGGCAGGAACGACTTGACAGATGAGCTATTGGGTCAACATCCCTCTAGAGTCTCCGAGGTCCCTGAAGGGATTTCCTTTTGATGGGGGCCAAGACTGCCCAAGACTTATCGGACAATAGGAAGCCCAGAACACTTGGTGGTCTAGGCTTTTCTTTGAAGGGGAATTCTTCGAAGGCTTCTGGGTACAACCATGTTGTGCCCAATTCGAGACTACACTGCTTAGGTCATGCTCGCTATGATAGGGTCTATTGCCCGCCTTATACGAGTTCACTGCATCCGGATCGTCCCAGTCGGTGAGAAGGCGGAAAATCACTTACTAGGATAGGAACACCCTCCTTGCGTAATTACTTGTTATTTTCTAACGCGTTGTGTATTGTTTATGATATCTGATGTGAATGATTGAGTTCTCCATTCACAAAACATGTTCCTGGTCAATGGACCGAATTCCATCGGGCATAAACGTTGATGCTCAACACGCGGACGTGGCTTCCTATCAGGACGTTAATAACGGGAAGCGCCGCACCCTCACCCACGACAGATGGAAATCATCGAAACAAATCGATTTTCCCAGCGGGAAATCATTGAGGAACTCTTTAGGCATCCTGTAGGTGTTATTCTAGTATGTTCTCTTTATGCGATTCGTACTTAAACACAAGTGGGGAGTAACACAGAGGATAACACTATCTGTGACGGACTAAAACCGACTACCATGTAGAGATTCCAGTCATCTACAACATAACAACATAAATCTTGACGTGGCCTTCAACTAGCCGGAATCGCAGACATACGATAGCGTAGCAATTCCTAAGTGATATGAGCTGATACCAAGAGGGACGACCTGAGCCCCACCTTAATCTCTTCGTGGGACAACTCCCCGCTCAAGTCAACGAATAGCGTGGCCAAGCGATCTATGTTGTTGGTTACGATGAGTATGAACAGCTCGAATGCTTGTGTGCCTCGGAAGATCGTTGCTTTTTGTTTCTTATAAACCTCGATCTCCTTATCGAAGACTCTGCAACACCATCATTCGGTGACGATAGTCATGAGCTCATGAACTCACTTAGGGCAGTCCTCGTACCATAGGGTAGGATGCTGGTGGTGAACAACATGGAAATCCGCTTCAAAAGTCTGAAGGAATGCGACATCTCCACATACATTCGAGATATGAGGAGTAATAGGATACATTATAATGACCATCAAGAATGGTGATACTCGTTATATAATCATTGTCGGGATCCCGCGGGTCCACCCAGGCATGCCAAGTGTAGTTAATCGCAGCCTAAATTGAGTCCAGTCGGAGGGACACCCCAAGTAAAAGTTTACCAGGAGGGTGGTGGCCTCGATGTGAGGATACACCCAATACGCGACAGCGAATCGCCAATCTAGCATCAACAATGCTAACATGATGCCATAAAAGGCAAGAGTACCTGACATGGGACATCAACAAAGAGTCGAGACTTCGAACCGACCCTTCAACTGCTTCCAAGCCAACCCTTTCTCCCCACGCATATAAAGATGCCAGCTTACACTCAGCCCAGACCAGAACCTACTACCACTCATGTCATAGCACAGAAAAGCCTCTCCTCAACCACATACTAGTGGCAATGTGAAAATTCTAGAAAATTTTGGGAAATTCTCATTGGTTTCAGTACACGAATTTTTACATGAACTTCTATGATTAGAGAGTAAACTCCTAGGCTCAGCTGAGGGAAGCGAACGTATATTCCAACATTGCTTCTCACAGATAGAACTTGGCTAGATATAAGATGAACTGCCTCGGATGGTTACGATCGAATTCCATTGTGGCCGAATCATCAAGGAGACCATTATTGTACCTGTGTCGGGATTAGCAACGACATCTACTCCTATGAATGATCACTTGTGATGAACTTTGTTATGTCCAATTTTGTAACCCTCTGGCACTCCTCCATAGAACATGAAGGCTCCCCATTCGATGAGTCTATTGAAGATCCTCCAAGAGCCTCTAAACATTGGCACTGAGGAATGGGCTTCTATATGAACCTGGGAGTACCATGCCCAGCACCCTGATGATGATGGCTTATTACGATAGCATGAGTGTGAGCGAAGAAGCTGAAGTACGGTCCAAGACGGAATAAATGGTAGGCGACGAAATGTACAGGGTTCACTATGAAAACCCCTTCATATGGTGCTGACTTCTCTTTGAAAAATATGCATCTAATACAAGCCTGTCCCTGAGATCACAGCAATACTTAACCTACGTCAAGAATATCGGGATAACAAGAGCAAGCACGTAGGTGGGCAGATACACGTATAAGCGTTCTTGGCTCATAATCGTTCGAGCCACCATACGTAAAATTCCTCGTCCTGAGTGCGAATGTAGTAGAGGTAGTAAAAGCTCACGAAATCCACCTTTTTCCTTCACAGTTTGACGCCACGACTGGGGTGTCAACACCCCCCAGCAGAAGCGATTGAGAAGTGCATATATCAAAATTGTCGTGGCGATGAGACTCGCAGTAAGGGGGGCCACCACGAGTAGTAATGCACCACAGAAAAGGCCCACCTTAGAGGGACTACGCTTTGGAGCCTTTCGAATCTCTGAGGGACAAACCTAAGACCAGTACTCAGAACCACCGGTTACCCCTAGTCAAATAGAGCTTGTAAAGTACGATAGCTATGAGATGGGTAATGACCAGGACCTGAAAGCCAGATGGCTGACCAGGACTAGAAGGCTAGCACTACCGCAGCCTCGATTGGGTTCTTATCGACGGCCAATACCAATGCGGTTGTAACCCAGTAGAGTGCCACGGGATGGGGTATTCCACACACGGTAGAGCTCCTAGACGTTAGGTGTTGACCATTGCGACTGTTCAGGGACAAACATGCGAACATGGTGACCAAGTACCTGACCAAGACCACTGCCCTGTGTGACACCATACATAGTGTCACCAGAGTGAGCCGAGGAGCAATGGGGAATATCTATCCAAATTTTTGCTTGTTGTGGAAAGGTCGCTCAAGGTCTGAGCCGTGTGTAGAAGTCGAGTCTCTGACAAGAACGGTGATGGTCGGGTTTCGAGTTAAATTATGAGTTTTACCACAACTCTCCAGACACAAAGTAGTGACGAAGACCCACGAGACTAGCCAGTTCAGGCCAACGACAACGAGCGGCAGATGATGCCTACGAAAACATGATAGTTATGATCCTGAGTAAGGTAAACAATTACTCATAGGTGTGGTAACGCTTTACGAAGAACATGTCTTGTAAACTGCGCTTATCGAATGCCACGGCCAGACCGGTAGCAGTCACGATGAACCCCATAACGGAGAGGATATCGAAGGGCGGCGAATATATCATATTGGGCAACGGTAGCGGCAAAGCAGCAAGTCCTACTAACATCCAGTGTGGGGGGGGGGGGGAAAGTATGCACATGGTCAACTGCATGCGTGGCCGACGATATGAAATTTTTGAGGAAACTTTGGGAAATTCTCATTGGTTTCCGTACATTTCTACCCCATTTCGTATATAAACTCCTATAATAAGTAAGGAAAATTCCGAGCTCAGTTGAGGAAAGCGAACATATGTCACAACACCGCTAACATCATGGATTCGACAATGAAGGACCACTACGAAGCATGCATGGTGAATGCGATACAATTCCATGATTGAGCTCGACCCATGCGAACTGGAAGTATAACACCCCTACGACGTCTTCCTACGTTAACAGTCGGCTTGTACAGAAAAAGGCTGGGGCTATTTGGGTTGTTGTGAGCATGCCAAGACAGGTTGTAGAATCACCAAGAGTGGGTAATGGATTAGGATGCTCCACTGACATTGTGTATGCGTGCTTGCTGTCGCATGCGTGCTGCTCCTTTGTTGTGCGTGCGGGGAGTGGTTATACTAGTCGTTCGAGTGGATTACCACTAGCAAGGATCTGTCAGTTGGTTCTTACCTGAATACTTGTCTTCCGTATTGGTAAATCTACAATAGTGTCATCATAGCTAATTTCAAGCATGTCTGTGCATGCTGACTACTGTTGACTCGGAGGGCTTGAGTACCAGATCTGGAGGGGGTGGTACAGCACTAGCAATGGAAGGATCAGTACACCATTCACAAACCCGACAGCTCAGTATGAGCCGATATTTTCGGTTATCAATAGCAATACTCAATCAAAAGAAAATGTACGCGTACACATTAGCGCCCGAAACCGGTCGCTCTACCAGTACCCGAATCGGGTAGTCTTGAATACTGACAATATTAGTCTGGCCAGATGCACATATCATGAGCACTGCCCAGTTTAAGTGAGGAGCTTATTTTCAACTACGACACATACGCCCAACGGGACAATTTCAACTATTTTCATACGTACCGATGTAACCATACATCAAGTATCGTCGTGTGCACTCACTTGGTGACAATCCAGGATCAGATGATTGAGGAAACCATAGGCTGCCAATTCTTCTTCATTAGAAAAGGACACACACACATAACGAAGAATACCCACAACCTTTAAGATCGATGATAGAGCGAACATGAGATCAACTGAATCGGGATCATACCACTAGATGATCCGTTTTACAAGATCTTCTACTCCACTATTGACCCTCAGAGTAATATCGTCGCGTATCATCTTGTGCTGCTCAGAGTACTTATATAATACCAATTCCTCAGTAGCTGAGAGCGTTCACTGCGACTACTGAGTACTAGTAGTGATCATTGCTGACCGCGAAAGGCGGCAATACCGTACAAACAGGGGAGAAATATTCATGGCAACTAACAACTAGGCCTGTTGAAAACTCCCCCATGACATGAACACAAACCACGAAGACTTAGCGAAGGAAGCCGTATGAATAGGTAACGGTTACAGGAGTACCAGGACAGTAGACCATCTACCTACACCGTCATCGATGTGATTATCGTCCTCACTCACGATACTACTACCACTATGCTTTATAACCCTCAACAAAGAACTGTGAATATGCTGTACTACCGCTGACAGGTGTACGATAACTAAGTTGCATACATAACCATAGGAATCTCGAATGTTACACACAACAGAAAGCATTCATCTAGCCGCGTTTCAAGTAGGTTGACCAGATGCTCATCATGATAACGACAAATACGAAATTGAAACCTCTGTCTCGGAAGATCGTATTTCGAGGGCCCTTGATCATTGACGTTGTCGAGGAGAGTACTGCTACTAGTAGTAGCAAGAGACTCGACTTCAGCTGTTGTACATAACTCCTAGCGTTGTACTAGTTACTGACAATAAGAACTCAGTGATAGAGGGAGACGTGTAGGGTAGCAGTAGCGACATTGTTTCTGAAACATTACCACATCAATGATGGTGAACGAACGTGAAGCAATGACACTGATGGTAATCGATGCTATAAGCTTAGCATATTACAGAGGAATTCAAATGAAAACAACGCGCAGACTTAACGTTGATCTCACCAGAATAAATAAGAGTAGAGAAGAGGAAAAATGCCAACACAGTGAGGGCACTCGATAACCACAACTATTATCCAGATGATAACAGCACACAACTACTATGGCGTCATGATAGATCGATACGGGAGTAGTACAAGAACCAGATGCACTCATGAATGACAACACCTCAAAATGGCAGTGGAAAACTATACTGATAATATCGTCAAAGCGAGTGCCACCAACAGACGATATATTCAATATTAGTTGACCAACAGTAGTAGCTGATACAGCAAGACGGTATTGACAGTCATGACGCAAGTCTAAGAATGTGTTACTCCTATAACGACGACCTTGCTATTATCATCAACGTCGCAGAAGCAGCTTAGAGGAAGTCAGCAACATCCATAGGCATCTCATCGACCTGGGTGTTGTAATGACGTTCAATCTCACGTAGCTGGCTGATGTCCTCAGGGACGACGAAGTTGATGGCAACACCCTTACGACCGAAACGACCACCACGACCAATACGATGGAGGTAGTTCTCGATCGAAGCCGGGATATCATAGTTGATGACCAAAGACACTTGTTGTACATCAATACCACGGGCCAAGAGATCAGTAGAGATCAACACACGAGAGCTGCCAGAACGGAACTCTCGCATGATCAAATCACGCTCCTCTTGGGTGAGGTCAGCATGCATGCAGGAGACGGTGTGATCGGCCTCATGCATCTTCTCGGCGAGGTAGTCGACCTTTCTCCTGGTGTTGCAGTAGATGATAGCCTGGGTGATGGTGAGGGTCTCATACAAATCCTTGAGGGTATCGAACTTATACTCCTCAGAATCAATGGCAATGTAGAACTGACGGATACCTAAGGAAAGGAATACGACAGTGACAGTTGAGGAAGAGCTCTCACCTTCCAAGGTCAACTCATCAGTCTTGACGAGGATTCGGACGGGGTCACGCATGAATTTGGTAGTCAGCTGAATGATGTCATCGGGCAGGGTGGCGGAGAACAATGCGACCTACAAGAAGACCATCAGTGAAGCGACCACAAGAAGGGCTGGAAACTCACCTGGACATTGCTGGGCAAGAGACGGAAGACATCGTAGATCTGATCCTTGAACCCTCGAGAGAGCATCTCATCGGCCTCATCAAGGACGAAGATCTTAAGGTCATCCAACCTGAAATAAGGTATATCGAGGGTTACAGACATGTATGGATACTTACCTCAGATGCCTCTTGTTGGCCATATCGAAGACACGACCAGGAGTGCCAACCACGACGTGCTGCCCCTCACGGAGCTTCTCAATGTCCTCACGAACAGCAGTGCCACCAATGCAGGCATGGCACCTGATGTCGAGGAAGTCAGCAAGGGACTTGGTGACCTGACGAGGAAACATAGTAATTACGCCTCACCCTTTCCTTGAACGTACCGAAGTGATCTGCTGAGCAAGCTCACGAGTAGGGGCGAGGATAAGGGCCTGAGTAGCTCTGAGCTTGGGGTCAACACGAGCAAGGCAGCCGACGGTGAAGGCGCCGGTTTTACCAGTACCAGACTGGGCCTGGCCGATGGTATCGCGACCGGCAATCAAAGGCTTGATAGCTCTCTGAAGGAAAACATAATGCCATCAATATAAACATCCCCCCTAAGTCAATGCAAGCCACAAGCTCCCTATAGTATCCTATGAATTCAAGGGAGCGATAATGGTGTTGAGGGGCGAGCTGAAGTTGACTGTAGGTGACCCCCTCACGTACCGATTGAATAGCCGAAGGCTTCTCGAAACCATACGAGTAGATTCCTCGTAAAAGGTTCTCATCCAAGTCCAAGTCGTCGAAGGAATCGACGGGAGCATCGTCGTAGTTGCACTCAATGTTAGTTTGACTCATTGTCAGGGAATATAGGGGTTTAGTCTGCGGTGGGAAGAGCACGGCTATGAACCGCAATTGCAAATCTCGCTACGCCCTTGTAATCGATTTACCTCAAATGTCATTCTACGACTCAACCCAAGTTGCGCCGAAGTCTTGAGGACCTACAACAAATGTTTCACTAATGTACCTATTCCATATCATCCGTTTTCTCGTATCGTTGTAGCAACCTTTCCTTACTATGTCTGAGGGTTACCATAGTCCCACAGATGCCATCAGAAGTAGGGTGATTACCAAGGCTGAGCTGGCCAAACACACCACTAAGCACGATGCATGGTAATACACACTGTAGGAGGCTAAGGACATCCCGTGGTAGGATATCCGTTCATGGTCTAGTGCTCGATGTGTCCAAGTTTAAAGAGGACCATCCTGGTGGAGAAAGTATTCTTATGCGAAATGCTGGTAGTAGCACACATGGCCCTTGTAGTAGTTATTATATCATCTAAATGAGTTGTAGGGGTATTTTCATTGTAGTAAAGGTGGCAGTTGTAATAGGGATAGTCTCGAACTAGCGGTAGTGACAGTGGTATGAGTATGGACCGACCACCAGCGCTTGCATTACAACTAAGTCGGTGATTGAACATTGTACAATCCTTGGTTGTATCGGTGGTAGTGGAAATAAAGTATGAGTAGTATTTGTGAGCAGGTACTGACTGCACTGAAGAGTACGATGATGTTGATCATTCCGATGAGGCCCGCATGAGGTTGATTCGTGAAGTTGCCATAGGTAATATCAGTATCACCACTAGGCTGCCATCCTGGTGCTTTCTAAGGTGTTTTGGAAGGGAAAGAGGACACTCCAGGAATACCACTGGAAATCAAACTTGGTGATTATGCTGACAACAGCTGGAGCACGACTAAGGTAGGCCCTCTCCTTACCAGGGTGGGAAAATGTTAACCCGGACAGTCACATGTGTTGGTGAATGTTCTGAGAAAGTTTTGGGAAATTCTCATTAGTTTCTATACATTCTACCCGGATTTCTATGTTAGTGAGGAGACTCAGCTGAGGAAAGCGAACATATATTCCAACACTGCTTGCCCCTACGCGTCAAAGCATCGACTGCTCACTCTCAGATGATCCTCGTTACAGCTCTGGTCGCGGGCGTGGCCGTTGGAGTGATGAACTTGTTGAAGAAGTCAAAGTTCAGAGCCGATTGATAGCAGCGTCTGTCGCTCTTCTAGATCGCACCTTATTTTATGTGAGTAATTTCCCGTCTCGAATTGCTTTTCTGCGGCACTGATTTCGTTTCTTGAGTTTGCCTTTCGGAGTGGGTGGAAATATTTTTATTTCTTTTTCCCATCGAAGACTGCTTGTGAGTCTTTGCTACAAATGGTCAGCTTAGGCAAGCTCACTCGGGCGGGCAGGAACGAACAGGATGCGGAGAATTGCGATACTACTGCTACCCACCACAGGCGGACGTCATTTTACAAGGCGATTGGTCCCTACGGTTGCCAGCCAGACTCCGCTGTAATTGAAGAGCATACTGGTGATGCTATGCTGGGCCTCGTCAGGGACGATAGAGGCAAGTGGCAAGGGGATGGGACTATTTTATATAAGTAGTAAAGGTGGGGAATAAGTAGTGGAAAGGAAGCATTTGGTGTCTCAGCAACGGAGCTGGGTATTCCGGTACTGTAGTAGACTCCCAGAGAGAAGGCCTTGGGGTGTACATAAGCAAAGGAGGGGCTGTGTATAGGGGAGAATGGAAGGTAGGATTCGGAATTGCGCACAGCGAAGATTTTGAGACTGGTATCTTTGATCAGAAGGATGAGCCTGATGGTTTGGGCAAATGGGAGCAAAGCGATAGCAGCTATTATGTTGGCGAGTTTAAGGCTGGTCGTAAGGACGGCAAGGGGTACCACTTCTCCCCCTTTGGTGGCAGTAGTGGTGTTGGGGTCACTTACTATGAGGTATAGATTATTGCAGACTGTGTTATTGTGGGCAACGTTATTATCAGGTCTGGTCCGAGGGAAGCTTGATCGACCAGAATCGTGTGAATCGAAGGCCTAGTGAGGGCTGTTGGTGGGGTCGGAATAGTGGTGACACGTCTTGCAGAGGGTCTGATTCGGTTCATAGTAGAAACGAGTCTGACCGTTTTGGGGGTGAGGAAAGGACGGCTGCTGGGTGCTCCGATGAGTAGGAAGAGGAGTGGTATTAGAGATCATGTTGCTCTTATGCAGATCCTCGAATAAAATGTCTACTAGCGATGGCAATAGTGGTAATGATTTTACTTCGACCATGGGAGCCCGGAAAGTATCAAGGGCGCCCAAATCTCGAGTGGAGTCAAATAGACAGCAGTCCTATAGTAGCTATAGGAGCACGGTCCTGTCCCTTCCTGATGGGCTTGGGTCAAGTGGCATTGGGCAGCCTGCCTCGTCCTCCTCTGGCTTGGGACCAGCCCCAAGGTCTGTTGTAGAATGGAATACTGAGGACGTCGTGAAGTGGTTGACTAGAGTGGTCCACATGGGCCAATACGGTGAGTGCTAGGGCTTAGTAATCGCGGTTTGTTTTGATGGTCATAATGTTAGGTGATACTTTTAGAAGAGCTCATGTGACGGGACCAACACTGCTGCTGGTCAGTGGTCAATTTTTGAAGTCACGACTCGGGTTGAAATCTCTTGGGCACCGGACTAAGATACTCGCGGCTATTGATCAGGTAGTCTCCGCCTTCCATAATTTCGTGGCGCGTGACGCATGCTCTTCAGCTCCGACACGATTTGTCGATGTCATATGAACATGCTTGGTCCTCTCGCCCTGGTGGTCCTCTATACCTGAGCTCAGCCAGTACTAGTGGCAGTAGCGCTCGCCTGAACAGGCCTCTGCTGAGCTCTAGTCAGAGCCTTAGCTCAGTCACGGCTATTCAGCCTACCCTAGGGGAGGTACCCGATGAGACCTGGTACATCCCTTTCGAGGAGCTAGACTTTGGCCCACGACTAGACTCTCGGCCGGAGAACAGCCCCGTGGGAGTTACCGAGGGAGTTGGCTTGGCAAGGATGTGGCCATCAGAATGTACAGGGCCCAGTTGGTGAACTCTAACAAGTGGTGGTCAGCCGTGCGGCATCTGGACCAAATTCGGCACACGAACATTTGCCTGTTCATGGGGGTCGCTATCAGCGAGCCGTACTACTGCATTGTATGGGAGTTTGCAGAGTATGGTAGTTTGGAAGACCTACTCCACTACGATCGTTGTCCACCTGGTGGGAAGAAGCATGAGATTGTGAGGCCGCCCTTACCAGTATCAATGGCACTACACGTAGCTAGAGGCATTGCTGTGGCATGCAGCTATCTGGGCCGTATACCAGGTTTGGGCCATGGTCCTGGTGGGCACCTAGATTTGAAACCATCGAATGTTCTGGTGGACTCATCCTTCAACGTTAAACTGACCGACTTTTGCCTCAATGAAATAGAGTCCTGTTTTCTCCTTCTTCCGGGAGAAGGCATGAGAAGGTCAGCACATAGTCGTTATAGCAAACGAATTGATTCCGAAGGGAGTCGGACTGCATCTTGTGTGACACCACCACCAGCAGGAGCAGTGACCGACTGATGATATGGACTACTATAAGGTAGTAGGGGCCAGGACCAACGGTAGAGCAGATATAACTTTAATAGACACAGATTATAGATCTAGATATAACATTGATTATGCACTATTCACAATTATTCACTATTGGTTTGATAATATAGTCGTATTTTCACATCCCTTTTTTGATTTATCGCTGGTCTTCAGGTGACTACTCCCTCTGGTGTGGACAATACAGTAACCTCAATGCACGATGAGCTGTGTGTAACGGAGAGGAGAGTACTTGTTCGAGACCCACGTTATATGGCCCCTGAAGTAGTAGCACTGGGGTTCTGTACTGTTCTATTTTCTCCTATACTAGGTCCTACGTTTACCTGTGTGGCAATCTCAACTGGGCATAGACCACCGTTGCGATATTTATAGTTTCGGGGTTCTCCTCTGGGAGTTGCTGACATGCCGTAGAGCATATGCTGGTTTTACTAATGCACAGGTAGTCCGTCTCGACCAACTGTGATGGTGATGACTCCTCAGATACGGGCCTATGTGGGCTACGGTGATGGCACGCTGCCACATCTGTGTGGGTCTGCTCCATCTGAAGTTCGCCATTTGTTGGACACTTGTCTTGATCCTAACCCTGCCAACCGGCCCACGTTCGATTCGGCCATACGACGTTTGACTAGACTACAAGGACGAATGAACACTGTTGCTGAGGATGCCCTGATCTCGTTCATGGTTGGGGTTTAGCACTAGCGTTGCTGTCTGGCCGCCCTGTCGAGTGTAGTGTTATTGTCCATACTGCTGCTGCTGCTGCTGCTTATCGTTGTTGTTATTATTCCTAATGCGGCGATGATGATATTTTTATGTATAATTCAACCACCAAATGATGATGATCATTCTTGTTCTCTACCGCTAATTTTTCGTCATCACTAATACCATCACACCCGCGTCACCATAGACCTCCTCCTCCTCGCACTCCCCTGACAAACGTTAGCAAACTCTGGCTCGTGAGAGGTCAAGGGAACGGCCCACTTGTCGAATGAACGAACATTAACTTAATATAGTAGTTGAGTTGGAGTGGTGGTCTTGGGCCATGTCCTGATCGTAGCCGTTCCCTTGTGGCCTATGGTACTATGTCCGACCAATCATCGTTCATGGGAGTTGGCTGCTGAAAGACTCGCCATGGTCATCATCAGCAGCAGTGATGGTTTCGACTCTCACCCTGGTGCTCCCAAGCCCATGCAGTGTTATGTGCATCGATACACGGTCCGAGATGTGGCCGTCGTCAACTGTATAGGCGGTATCATACTGGCACAGAAATGTGTGCTGTAATGTTGAGGGTATCTCAGCTTTTGGAAGTGGTCGTAGCGCTGTTGGCCCTTACCTCCCTGGCCACCACTGAGGACTAACCTTCCGAGTTCAGGTGGCAGTCTACAGCCAACAGTCGCGGATGAAACTCTCTGGACCCCCTGCGGTTTCCTCTATGGTCAGGCGGTTAAGGAGCGATATTTCGTGGCGCAGTGAAGGTGAAAATCTTCGCAGTGCGCAAGATACGAGGCGTATCCTGCACTTTTGAAATTGTGTTCAGAGTTGACTTGAAGGATGTAGATGAAGTCTAACTGAGGTGACTTACCCCGTTTCTAGGACACCCTTATCAGCTATGCTCATAACGCGACACCAGAGCTAGTAGGCCGGGTCACCAGAGTAGTAGGTACAATAGCAGTCACTCCCTACAAGTCCTTATGCAGTAGTAGAGGCGGCCACCATGGCCTCTCATAGTACTTGGTCTGATGTTACTACTACTGTTATGTTTCCTATCAGGGTTGGGTTCAGTGGTCAATACCACAACTCTTATCACTCGTAGTTGCTTGTTATTCGTACCTGTCAACTGACCATGCCCATGGTAGGCCTCTACTGCTCGGTTACTTATCATTACTCGTCTTAGCAGTCCACCGTGCATACCAATAAAACCCCGTTTCATGGTCCAAAAGCCCCATTGGATCGCCTTAGTCCCGATAGTCGTCGTGCTTGTGAGCATGAGCTTGGCGCCGTTGGTGCGTGGTCTGGGTAGCAGTGCCCCCCGGGGATCTGGTTATGGTAGGTACCCCAGTGGTCTCGACTAGGGCGTCTTTGTCCCCACCTTCACCGACTCCTACCAGGGGAAGTGACGGCATTGAGCGTCTGGCGGTGCTGTTGAAGGACTCCATCATGTCCTCTATGGAGGCCAGGCTTAGTAAAGTAGGGCCCATCACTGTAGTGAATGTTCTATTACTCCTATCACCAGCTTGAGGACGATATGCGGAATCAAATCGGCACTCTGATGACCCACGTTCAAATGGTGGATCATAGAGTTGAAATCGCCAGGATTGAGCAGAAGGAGCTGGGGGAAGAGGTCCAGTCCAAGATGCAAGGCATACAGGTCACACATTTCCCTAGGCTACCGACGGCCCTATAAGGTCTCCTCTATCAGGACGTCCTCACTGTCCACCGTGGGCAATTCCTCAACGCTGTGGCCACTGTTGAGAAGTCGGTAGCTAGTGCTGTAGCAGCTGAGCTTTCGAGAGGGTGAATCGTTGAGGCTTGGAGAGCTTCCCATTGAGTGGTGTCAGATGTGTATCACCCGCCCCTGTTGCTGCGCCCGTTGGATCTTCCGTGGTTACCCCTTGTAGCCGCAACACGCCTGGGAGCCTGTCTGCCCAGGAGTTCACTCCACAGCGTTCGACGCCTCTCAACCATGTAGTGGAGTAACAGAGGAGCGATACGGCTCACGAGTGGTATGCTCCAGAAATCAGTGGCCTCCTCCTCCTCGTCCTCTTCCCCTCCTACGGCAAGGCGGCTCGCTGAGTCTGCCCCTACCAGTGGTATGAGGATCATCACCCCAAACAGCACGTCTTCACCAAGCCCTACCGAAAGGGACAGTACCGGGAATGAGCCATTGACTCAGTCGACCCCAAAGAGTACACCACCGTCCGAGACGGACCAGGTACTACTTGGCCCTGTCCTCGGGTCACTAGCGCTTCTTGTTGTTATTATCAGGCCATCGATCTCTCTACCAAATTGGCATCAGCTCTCAGTGAGAGCGGATTCCATGTCCACCGCGAGGCCTTCAACTACATCATATCATGGGATACTGACGTTTTGAATCTGAGGAGAGGGTACCTCATGTGGGCCTTCAAGGCGGCTGGCTTGCATAAGGACGTAGGGTTGTAGTAGGAGTTCTTCTGGTGTTTAGGATGGCTTTCAGGCTATCCGTCCCTACCCACATGGACCAGGCTTATTGGACTGTATGATATTGTTCAAGGCTGGCATCAGAGAGCATCACATCCCAACTCTAGGTAGACTTTGCTTGCAGGTGAACTGTACTCATTTCTTCATCTTCTTAGTGTCTTTCATGACCCGTGTAGTGGAGATAGCTGGCACGGCTCAGTCGACCTTGATGGATTCGGCGAGGAGGGAGACTGACGAGGCCGCTACCGCTAGAATGTTCCGTCAGGTAAGCTCGGACAGTGGCTGTGGAAGGTGGATGATGTCGATCAGATGGTCTCCCAATACCCGGGCATGGTGTCCGTTCGTGAGGAGTTGGGCCGTTGGGTAGCCAATGAGGGTTTCGATCCAGCTTTACTGTTGATGCCACATGCCACCATCAATCCAGCGCTATAAGGCCCTACATGAATGCTTCGGAGTAGGAGTAGTAATAGTAGAAAAATGACAAAAATACATAATCGTTGTGAAAGCAGCAGTTGGCTCTTCCAGTGGTATGATGATCATGATGAAGCCATCGAAGCAGCTGCCGACATTAGCACTTGAATTCCCTCAACTATCCTCAATTTCTAATAAATGTGAACACGTCTCTGCTAACAGTCATTAGTCGTCGAGTTCAGCGTACTCTCCTGCTCGGTTGAAGAGTCCATGAAAGTAGCTGGAGCTTTCTCCATTTGCTATGACGGCGGCCCTGGCGGATGGGGCACGGACATCTCCCTCTCAACGGCGTAGACCACCAAGACGATTGTCGCCATCAATGCGAAGACAGTATCGATATACGCCTGCTATCAACCACGGTTCGCGAGGCTTGCCTGAGCGCTATGTGTGGCACTCTGATGGTGGTAGTCCATCCGACAAGAATAACCGATATGGGTCATCGTCGGGCAGGGGGGACTCGAGCTCATTTGACGTTGGTCCTGGTGACCTCAGCCCCACCGGCAAGCGTCTCAACTTGGCGAGAGCTGCCACATATATAGGGGTTGTTGATAGACAGCAAACTATTGATGGGCTCGGGAAAGAACCTTTCGAGTGGAGCATTAAAGCTATTGGGTCGTACTCGTGCCATCGGAACTCTACCGCTTCGGATACCTATATTGTGATACCGGGAGTGCCACCTCTTTACACTCCGCCAAGTACAGCGGAGGGGGACATCGAATTGGAAAAGAAATTGGAGTAAGTGTTATTCAATTGGTGGTGTGAATGTTTGCTTTTAGGGGGCCTGAAGACGTCTTGATGCACTACGACCTGTCCTATCCTCTTAGGGCTGCCCAACGTGTTATTGAGAAGTGCACTCCCGATTTCGATTGGTCCAATGTCGACTTGGTCACCAACCGAGGGACACTGTGTGACCTATTACGATTCATAGGAGCCCTTACGAGCCCTAATCAGAAGTCCAAGCCCTTTGAGTTTCCTCTTAACGGTGCTATCAATGGCGAACCGGCGACAGTTGAATGGAGCTATAGACACCACGCGAGTTACAGAGAGTATAAGAACTCTTTCAAAATGACGATGACTACCACACCGCCTGGCTCAGAGGCTCTTTATCGTCATCATCGTTTTTCAATGCTCAAACTGGGCAATCTCAATGTGGTAGTCAGGGCGGAGGTTGACGCTCTTGTGAAGGAAGCGCAGAGTGGAGGGGTGGAGTTGTCTGATGACGGCTGGGAATTCTGTGATGAAGGTCGGTGTGCTGTATGGACCCAAAAGGCTGGGGTGTTCGATCCTAATGATACTACGGTGGAGCTGAAGTGCCGTACGTTGAAATGCCCCCGTGCAGGCTTCAAAGCGGCCTACTATCAGATGGCCCTCGGTGATAGTGACAAGCTAGCGGTTGGTCGACACCAGGAAGGGCATCTCGTTAAAGTTGAGGAATTCACCCTTGCTGAAGTGAAGGCGAAAGCCACTGATGATATCAATAAACGATGGGCTCAGTTGGGGAGCCTTCTGGAGGAGTTACTTGACTTGAGCTATGGAAAGCTATCGACTATTGTTTGGAATGGCAAGAGTAGCAAGCTTATTGTGAAGGCTAGAAGGAATGAGTGGGACTAGTCTCCACGTCTAGTTTGGTGATGCTTGTGAACACTACTACTATTAGCATTAAGATTGATTGTTCCAATTATCATCATCTCTACCGTCATTGTAACGTACAAGTACTGCTGGACATCATCATCAATTCTATTTCTGTCAACGATTATTTGGTATATTATTTTGGTGCACAATTCATCATCAACAGCAGCAGCAGTGTGAACAAGAACAGAGGCTTTATCACCATATCACGATGCCAGTCCTTGAGTTTAACCAAGTGGGGTTAGTGTATATTGGCAGTCACTTACTCACTGTAGGAAACCTCTGATGAACTCGGACGGTGAGGCATTGTCTCCAGCTTCTAAGAAATCTCGTGGTACTGCTCAATTGCCGTACAGTATACCGTTGGAAGAGGTTCAAGAAACGGCGAGAGAAGCTCAGTGGGGGACCAAGACCATAGGGTCGTACTCTTGGGACACAACATCAACTCTGAAGGAACCACGTATAGTGGTACCTGGAGTGCCACCTGTTTACAAGCCAGCGAGGAGGTCTTTCACACTGCAGAGGGAAATCAGGTGAAAAACGTTGGTCGTATATTTTTCACTGTGTTGTTCTGTGACCTTCAGGCAAGCGTCTAACTATGTTGAGGAATACGATCTGTCGGTGCCCACTGAGTCCATCGTTCACGTTATGTCGCTGTGTGATCCTAACTTCGACTGGAGTAGTGTAGATCTCGTGACGGACCGCAACAATCTTCGAAAGCTCCTACGATTCTTAGAAGCATCGCCTGGAGCCCCTCTCTTTCCCGATGCTGAGGAAAGCTTTGAGATAATCGTCGATGTGCCTGATGGTCGGAGACCGGTTGTGTTCACATGTGACCTTCATAAGGATACCCCTGCCCCTCTAGGGTTCGGCCATGTCTTCGAGGAGCGCCTTACGACGATGCCGGAAGTGGCCAAGACCTTGCATGGGTACTTCAGGCTTATTCTGCTCAACCTCGATGGTTTCAAGGTGGTGGTGCGAACTGAAGTAGATGCACTCGATAAGCCCTTGAATGATGGTGCTTGCCCAGAAGGGCCTTGGCGACCATGCAATGATAGTGCCACGGGCCTGCATCATCGTGCGAGTGGAACCTTCAACGATGCTGATGGTGCAGTGGTCGAGATGAAGACCAAGAGCGCCTTTTTCCCTGACTTTCCTTGGAGGTCCACATTCTACCAAATGCTACTCGGCAAGGTGGACAAGTTGGTTCTGGGCTGGCACAAGAAGGGCCACTTTCCACCACCGATAGAGTATAGTTTCAATGACGTACGATCGAAGGCGAACGATGATGTGAACAAACGATTATATCAATTGGGCGTCTTACTCGACCGAGTGGTCTCCTTTGTGAAACAGGCAGGTGTTCCGAAGGCGCTCAAGCTGGTGTGGGATGGTGGTGCTACTGATCTCAGGATTGAGGAAAGATGCTTGAACAGTGACGAGGAGATTACTCATGGTACATTAACTTGTAAATTTTTTGAGTCGTACATTCAACCGTAGATTATTGATGTCAAACGTCAATTGGAAGTCTCCCCCCTTTCCCTTGTGCTTGTGTTGGGGTGTTACAAACATCTAGAGTAAGGCTATCGTTCCGACGCGTTGCCTTTACTCCGTTCAACAAGCCCTTCTGAACCTACAGGACTTGTAGGTTCAGAGGCTCTTAGTAGTACAGACTTGTAGTACAAGTTCACCAGGTGTGCTCGTCGTCACCTTGCGCGAGTACTTGAAGTAATCCACAATAGTGGTTGTACTTTTCTGGGAAGACGAATGAGACATTGAATTCATCGTTACACGTCGTTGCCATATGCATGTAATCCGAACCAGAGTAGCACATCTGTCATCTCGAGACACTACTGCAACGTCGATCCTTCCGAAGGAGGCAAGAAGCCTAATACATTGGTAGATCGCCCAGTTAACGATGAGTTCACATCTCATCAACTCAGATCTCTCAAACTCTTCCCTACACCATCGTGTTATGATGCTCGATCCCAGCAGAATTGTATAACTACAAATCAGAGACTATTGGTAGCTCGCAAAACTACAGGGTAGTCTCGTGTAGTTTCGAGGCGCATGACAGCTGATGAACGAGATAGGTATCACTCGAAAGCTCTCATCGAGGATACGGAGTGTGCACTGAGTTTTCACAGACGCAAATACACGGAGACACGTCGTATCAGCATTACCAGAAGTTGCACGAACAGTTCTGTAGAAACTATGCATAAAAATGAAGAGGACTGAGTGGGATGCTGATATGCTCCGCAGCCGCAAAATCTGAAAATCTGTTCCAGGCCGAAGAATGTGGCCAGGCCATTTCTTGAAAATTGGAGTCGCCATAGTTGCATAAACTTCTCACGCGCCATAAAACTCAAGTCTTCACGCAGTTTTCGTTGAGTTACTGATTGGTGTTAGCGCGCGCCCATTTATTCGACTGATTTCGCATGGAATCTCAGGTTGTAGGAGAGGAAGGGCTTACAGAGGCTCAGGGGTAAGTTACAGGGAGCTGCTTATATCATTCCGTAGATGTGTTTTGCATATAAATAACGCCTGGCATTTTTCAGGTCTATTGAGGTCCTGAATCGGGTTGAAAGAGGTTTGGCAGTGGACCTGGATGCTGAGACCTATCTGGTCAAACTACCCCCTTGGTTGGCCGAACGGGTAAGGGCCAGTGCATCGGGTACGGAGATAGGCAGGAGTGATCCGATCAATGCGGAGGGAAAATGCCGGTTTGCCGCAACTGGATGTGCCCTACAGGGAAAGCCGTCCGATTTCGAAATTGTAATAAGGGCAGGGTCGACCATGGAGTGGCACATAACAAACCATTTTTCGCACCAAACCCGCCGCTCTGGCTTTGTATTATATAGTGGAAGACTCCATGCGAAGAAAATGGTAGTCTCGGGAGCATCTGACTTCTTTGTCAGCGTGCCACTGGCTCGAAACCCGAAGGCTTGTACCTTCTGGGTTTCGCTGCGGATGATGGTGAGTTTGATGATGGTGAGGCTGACATCAAAAGCGGCTCTGAGACTACCGTCCGTAAAGTGGTTGGTAATAGGCATATGATGCCGATGCGAATGGATGCTAAATACAAGGCACTTCTAAAGGTAGGAAAGTGTCATGTCCGGAGTAGTTGAGGGGAATCGTCTCCAGGAAAGATTAGCAGCATCGAACAATGTAGACTTGAAACACAGGACGGAAGTCGATACCCGATCGGCTGAGTGAGGTTCGATGACGATCATCATTTAAAAGATCGTCTTATCCCTTTAGCGAGTTATTGGCCTCGCAGCAAGTCAAAATGTTCCAGTACGCGGCTTTCCAAGGCGAGATGGACGATGACCGCAGCGATGATGGATTTTATAATGAAGGGTAGCAGCCGTATCATCATGCATGTGTCGATGCTCATGTACAGGTCGAGTGCTAAGCGTATGAGAGTGGGAGATGCTCCGGTCGCTCGGCGGACACTAGGACTGGATGCTACCACGCTGCCCTTACCCGATCTTCTAATGCGAGTAATACGCATCCATATGTTGGTCTGGTAAATCTTGGACGCATTCAGCTGCTGGTGGCGGAGGACACCGGCTGGACGCTGCAGCAGATGGCCAAGCGGTTGAGGGAGGAGGGCCTCACTGTGAACCTCACTCAGCTGAGGCGACACCTGGTGGACCTTTGTGATTATCAGAGGAGAGTTGGAGATAATCAACCAAAGTATGTTGGAGTGCTCCTCGGCAGTTTCAGCTGAAGTGATAGGTATTACCTCAAGGCTGAATACAAGCACGTTGCGGCGTAAGGTGTAGTCAGATCGAGCTTCGAGATTTCCTGGTCGTTGAGTTGAAAGTACTCGAAATGGGAGTGTTTTTAGTGTAGTAATGGCTGACTCGGTCCCCGACACGCTGTCTTATGGTATTAGCAGTCTTGAATTTGTGGGGGGAGCGGTAGGTAGCAGGTACAGTGAAAACGGCCGGCCGGTCGGCGACTGGCTTGTTCAAGGCTAACCATGAAATGCTGGGATGGCGGAATCGGCAGACGGGGCAGACCACACAGCTGAATAAGGAGGTAGTACGAGGGCGAGCGTCAGGTTCATGGGTAGTCCCTGCTGTGATGTGGAGGAAGAGCGGTATGGACAGGCGGCTGATGTGTCGCGTGGCTTTCAGGATATCGCGTCGGTCACATGGTACAAGGTCAACAAGGAGTGCCTTTTAAAGGTAGCATTACCACTACCGACCTCACATGGCGAGGCATGGTCTCCGCATCAGATCGTTATGAAAAATGGTGACATATATAAGTACGATGGCTTCCAAGATTCCAACTATGAAACGGTCAAGGCTTTCTTCAATAAGCATTACGATTTGGATTTGAAAAAAGAAAAAGTTGGTCTGCTGCTGTCTATGAGGGCCGCTGAATATATGTCGGTGGTGGTCAGGTATCTACTCGTGGTTGGTGTTGGGGTGAGAGCAGTTGGTCCGGCACGGAACTAGAGTTGAAGAACGCGGGTCAGGTGGCATTCGAGATACAGGCCACCGACATCGCTCAAGTAGGAAGGAGCCTTACTCCCCTTTTATGCGGTTATCGTCTATTGTCAGGTGGTGCCCACTGGTAAGAACGAGGTCGCCTTGGAGTTCCATGTGGATGACACTAGAGATGCTGATGACGAGAGTTTGGTCGAGATGAGGTAAAAACTGATGAAGTTTCCGGCGTACAGTGAGCGAAATTTTGGTAGGTTCTTCATCCCGAATGAGGAGTACGCGGCTAAGCTGAAGGATGAGCTTATTCAGAAGTCTGGCGCGGCTACTGGTATGATACAGTACCGTCATCAGTGCTCTCAGTGGCTCTTTATTGCCTAGGTGGCGGCACTACTATATGCCAGTTCCTGAATATACCTATTGTCCTACCCAGAGGCCATTACGATTTGGATATGTTCCGCTCATCCTTCAAGCTAAGGGGCAAGTCCTTCGACTATACTATCAAGTACATGAACGTCTCTAGAATGTTCATGCTACCCAAACCGGATAGCGTTCATGTCTCGTTCGTATTGGGATTAGATCAGCCAGTGAGGCCGACTTTGGAGTGGCCCCATCGTGGGGATGGTGGTCCCCCGACGTATGCAGGTACGGCAAGGCAATACAGCGTACAGTTTCTTGGTCATGCAGTATGATAAGGAGAGAGAAGTAGAGGACCTAGCTATCAACTTGGATGCTGAGGAACTGGAGAAATGCAAACTCCAGAAAGTCGTTAATGGTAAGGACCATGGGCCTGGTACGTTGGTCATGGTCGATGTGCTCTGCAGGGGAGAAGCTGTATGCTGTGATGGGACAGTTGTTCAAGCATATGACCGGCAAGAATGTGGTCACGCCCTGCCAGGACTTCAAGGCTTCTAATGGATACAACTGCGTAGGCCTTGGTAGAGTGAGGGAGAGGAGGGTGTTGCCTCAGGTGAGATGCTCTCATAAGGCCAATGATGGCTTTCTTTATCCACTCAAGAAGAGCTTCCTCTTTGTCAACAAGCCGGTCATGTGGATCCGTTACGACGACGTGTTAGCAGTTGGTGAGCCATGGGGTTGTAGGCTGCTCGAGGGGAAGGTCCATTCTGTTCTTCTCTTCAGAGTTCTCCCGTGCCGACTCTGGATTCACCCAAACCCGTTATTTCGATCTGAAGGTGTACCGTAAGGGCGAGGGTCAGCCCCATGACTTCCAGCAGATGGACAGGTGGGACCACCTATAATGATCCGTATTAGTCGGCCCAGTGCGATGGTGCTCAGATCCGAATATAACGGCCTTATTGAGTTCATCCAAAAGGCTGGTATAAGGATACGCAACCTAGAGGGCTCTGGCTTGGGTCTTGGCAAGAGGTCACGAGATGACGGCTCCTCTCCTGGTAGGGTAGCTGGGTGATACTGGGTGTAGATATAAATTGGTTCATTAGATGGGTCGCCTGATCTCGGTGATGACTTGCCATCCGAAGATGAGAGTGATGATGAGGACTATGAGGATGCTGGTGGGGCCGATAGCAGTAGTGATGACGATGAGGACGACGAGGAGGAAGATGAGGATGCGGTAAGTGCGGAGAAGCGAGCCTCGCTCCGCCGTACGATAGGTTGCTGTTATTCCTGGTACATTGAAACGTTGTTGTTAGGGAGGAGATGACGAGAAGAAGCACAAGCATAAGCATCACCATCATCATTCCCACAAGAAGGACAAGAAGCATAAGTCCTGAAGCTCTAGAGGTTGATAATATCCATACAGGACACTGTTGTTATCATCATTGCACGTCTGCGCCTATAGGCTTCGACGTTAAAGAGTTGAGTTGGTCTGTCAATCAGGGGGTAATTCAACCTAGGAAGCCATAGTTACGTGGTGAGATTATAAACATGCTACCAGCAAAGTCGTGATATGCACCGTGTGATGCTCAGCAGGCGAAGGAGCGTATTTGTAGTTATAGTAGATTCCGCGTTTAATGTCATCTCCATGAGCATCTCATTAGCTCTCAATCAGGTATCAATTCTGCAGACCCTTCATGCAAGAGCCCTTTGACCTTGGGAATTGTAGTTAAGGCCTCACTATACAGTCGTTAGCTTCACTGTCCTGCAGCAGGAAGGGCCCTGGCCTCATCTTCTTGGTCTCGTCCGACTGTGGGGAAGTGCCAATTTCAAAAGGAAGGGCCAGAGCCTACTGTTCAGTTAAGGAGAAACAGGATGAGGAGAAATAGATTCCAATACGTATTTGGACAGGATGGCGGATGAGTTGCGCCCCCTGACCTAATGCAAACGCCAGTTTCCTCCTAGTTGCTACCACACATGAACTCAGACTTCCTCAATTCGATGTGTATCTATGGCTGTCTACGATGGTTTTGCCCTCAGTGTACACGAGCTTGTCATTCTCGCTCTTCTGTGATTATGCAGAGTAAATTATTATTCCCTTTTCTGAGTCGTGTTAGCTAGTTCGGGAGAGAGCGGGGATGATGGTTATCGAAGTGTCGACTAGCAGTTCCCAATTTAACACAATGGTCCTGCCATTGAGTGAAGTCGCCCCAGGCCAGTTTGAGGTCGTTGGTCCGAGTCGAGACGGGGTCACTGCGAGGCTCCTGGAAGGGTGGGATTGTTATAATCTTGTTCACCGGTGAGGACTTTCCTCTTGCAGGCACCTCAGACCGGATCCATCGCTTCCTGGTTACACCCAGCCAGTCAGCCCGCAGGATGCATTACCGTCACTACAAGACTCACTACTGCTAGCTCTCAAGGGAGTGCCCGGCACTCTATTCTATATGACTGAGAATGCTGGTGGTTGTCTCGGCCGATGCACAGTGAAAGCCATTATCAATAATGGCCAAGAGTAAGTACAGTATGAGAGGCGAGATCTCACTGAGCCTCCAAGGCTCTCTGGACTCTTTCCGATAAGTGTTAATGATGATCATTGAACGGCTCTGAGAGCCGGGCTGGTCTGTGTCGATTAGTCGAAATGCGATTCTCTGAGGCCTTTTCGATTCCATTCAGTGTCGTACTTAACCGGGATGATGCGTCTTACGGTCGAAGATTGGTGATTTCAACAAACGACGTGAAGTATATAGTGCCACCTGCCGAGTTCGAACCTGTGCGGGACATTAAAGAGGCAATACGAGTTGATGCTGTGGTCAAAGAAGAACGACAGCGGCGACATGTATCTTTCAGAAGGTAGCTCGACAGTGGGCTCGAACGGCGATTTATTTCATGTTTACCCAATGTTGTAACAACATTGTTGTTGATTCGGCGTTTTCCTTGCTCACCGCTGCAATGGCGCTCGTGCAGGCACATCAAGTCGCGGCAAGAACGAGAGAAGGCCGTCAGAGATTACCAGCAAAGAGCAGCTTTCGGAGGCTAATCATTAATCCTATAAGTTTCTGCATGGACTCTATGATGTTCACTTTACCAAATATGAAAGGTCATTGTAAGGGCTCACAGTGTGAGTTACAATGACTTATAACGTGTAACTTAATAACAACTCTGCTCAGTGACGGATCCCTCCTACTCCTCGAACAGGCCACTAGGGCAAAACTTTCGTCACGAAAAGCCCCGGGTAAATGATTCCTGCCGATGTATTCCCGATAGCTGCATTCAGTTCCTTGATTCTGTCAACAGCTATGTCGAGACCATGATGAGGCGTAAAGTAATTTGCATTCTACTCACAGTCGTTTGTGGCGTTCGCTGGTGGATTGGTCGCACCTATTTCGAGATATTCACGTCACACATCATGACCCACGATTAACTCTCGATTGATGCGCGGATCATCTACCCCTAAGCCTTATCACCCAGCAGTAGTAGAAATCGATGAACGATTTTAGTCACCGCGACCAGGTCACGATTCGTGACTTACGAAAGGTTTTCTGACAAACTCACTAAGACGTCACGGATTACTAGTCAGTCGCGAACTACTGACTGAGAGCTGCCAGAATGAGCTGCGCGATCGATCGAAGATCTAAATTCCCGGATAATAGCGGAGTTGGTGGAGAAGATGAATATTCGGAAAGAGAAAGAACTAACCTATCGTTACTGGTGTGGAATGCCAACTGAACGCGTCTCGTGAGGATAGTGACCGTCACGCATGATCATTGTGCACGCACAATGATAGGACTACTATCATAGTAGCAGGCCTTCATCAGCGGATAGCCTAATATTGGAACTTCGCAACAAGAGCAGACCTCGACTATTGAGCAGCCGAGTGGAAGGGTCAAAAGAAGCAAAAGTCTACTCTCGTTCGATAAGCAATATGCGTAGCGGGACCGATGGATATAGACGCCGCTAGCTCTCTTCATATAGACAGAGAGCTGTCTTTTAGCTCTGTCGTTATAGACAGTGATAAGTGTGTGACCTGCGAAGAATTACACTCTCATCTTCTCCAACACCATGCACGATATTTGTCTTATTGCTGTGGTCTGGGCTTATTCTGTTATCGGAGGGTATGGCCAAGTGATGAGAATGAATACAGAGTATACCTGGGTACCAGGATATGGTCCAACTTTGCTTGGTAATATCTTGGTTGATGGTCAAAGGATACGTGCTTTGGTCGATACTGGATCACCTGCCCTTTTTTTTACGTGGAAGGACTGGTATGAGGGGGTCACTCATCCCGGAGCTTGCAGCCATCTCTTTACTGGTTGCGTTCGAAGTCCTCCACCACAAGGGCCCATCACAACTCTCCGTCATGAGGATGGCAGTAGTGTAGGTGTCCGAGCAAAGAGAGGAGGGGTGACTATTGCATCGAGCGTGGTTGTTTCTCTCATATTCGGACTGGTCGTCAGACAACAGCCGCCTGCGTCCAAGGTACCGCCCGTCCACTCTATTGGTTTAGGGAGACAGACAATACCAGGTTATCAGTCTCTCATGAGTCAGCTACGATCAAGGGTACAGAGCGAAACTTTCGCCCTATACTTGAGGAGGAATCCAAGGACTGGTCAAACAGTGGGAGAGCTCCTTCTTGGCGGTGGTGATCCGAGCCTGTATGTGGGACCCCTACGTTATGCCCAGCTCAGAGACCCGCAAGAGTTTGCTGTCACGCTCGATACTTTGCAAGTTGGTAGTGGAATTATGACTATTGGTATCAATGGAGCTGCCAGTGTGGACACTGGTTCACAAGCTTTGTTTGTCCCTCCCCTATACATGGATGGGTTAAAGAAGGAAATTCTTGCACAAGCCTCCGCAGCTGCCAGGACAAGCATTCGGTGCAGAGATATTCCAGGGCGTGATGCCTGCCTGTTCGACTGTGCCTATAGGAGGCTCTTCCCGGTCCTAACATTGGGCCTGAATCGAAATGGTGACATCCCTTTACTTATCAATAACATGCTCTACACCCATGAGATAGCAGGGGTATGCAGCCTTATGGTTGCGCCTACACCGGGAGACACATGGTTGTTACCGGACTTTGTCGTGGTCGACAATTACTTCGAATTTCAGCCGAGTCAAGGGCGAATTGGGATCGCTAAAATTCGCCCTCATTAAAACCATGCCGGATAGTTCATGCCGACGGCAACAGCTTCGCCATTTCAGAGGATACAGTATGTTTTGTCAGAGTCCTCATATATCTCTCATCAACTTATAACGAGATGTTTTGATTTTCATCTCTATAGAGCCAAGATTCGCTTATAGGATCAGTTTGGCCGACTCAGTTACAGACTCTCATATATGCCATTAACTCGATGTTGTGTTGCATCTCGGAATGAACATTCTACTTGGCGCGTTGCAAGACGTGGTGATTAATCAAACTGCACTCTGTGTGAATTACCAGGATTGTGAACCTTCACAGAAATATCGATCTGAAAACGTGTCGAGGTGGCATCGTTTCATATTTGCACTATGGAGTTGTCGTGCAATATATTTTTCGATAGTGTTTTTCATATCGTCGGTGGAACTCCAATGTTGACCACGGTTGTTGAATGTCAACACTCCGGTCACCTGTTGATCCTAACTAACAGATTGGCCTGCAACAATGCCGCGTTGTATAGCACATAACTTTGGGAGGTCTCAATATCTTGATCTCAATACCGGCCGAGAGGAAAGGAAGTAAACCCCCTCACAAAATAATAGAACATACAGTATTTCTTCAATTTCTCTGTTATTACTGCGACTTAGGTTGTGAGATTTCGTGTGTGAGGCTATCACTTATGTAGGAACAAAAATATATCAGAGTCGTATCATTATTCGCTCGCTTTAGTAAAATCTCTGAAACGGTCAATTTTTCCGCGCTTCCAAAAAAATAGAACACCATCTCAGACGGATCCGTATTGATCACAGAGCGACTATTCGCATATGCCCCGCGCTAAAGCTGTTACTCCACAATGTGGAGTCCACATACACAGGAGCTCATCCGTATCATTGGAAGCACTCGCCTACCGAGCGGTGAGGCTAAATATACCCATAGTGAGATTGCCAGCTGCCACGGAGTATCCAGGCCAGTTGTCAGCGAGATACTCGCGAAGGCACCCCAGACCTACCCGCCCCAGCCTCCCGAGCGACGTGGGCGCAAGCCGGTATTATCCGATAGGCAGAAACGGCACATCATGAGAGAGTTTGCGAAGGATCCCGACGTCAGGTGCACCAAGATCGTGCGTATTTGTAAGCTTAGCGTGTCCCCACAGACGGTAAGGCGTTTTCTGAGGTCGAGCGGGGCTGCTTATGCTAAGATTCCAGCAGCTCCAAGGTAAACTCCGGCCCATAAAGCAGCCCGAGTGAGTTTTGCCTCCGAGCACTTGCTTGCGGAGACTGATTTCTCGACGTGGATTTTCTCTGACGAAAAGCGATTCAACTTGGACGGCCCAGACGGCCTGCGCTACCGATGGATGTTTCCCGGACAAGAGAAAGCGGTTCTGTCGAAAAGAGCGTTTGGTGGTGGGTCTATCATGGTCTGGGGTGGGATAGCTGGATCTCATAAAGTAGCCCTGCTTAGACATGGGCACCCTTGCCCGGCCCCGGCGACCCGATTCGCCCCGGCCCGGCCCCGGAACGAGCCGGGCCGGGCCGGGTCAAAGTCACAAACCCGGCTTCCCCGCCAGTGTTGCCGGGGTCATGCGGGTGAGCGGGCGAAAAATGACCCGCAGCTGTCTGCGGGTAACCCGGAAACCCGGCAGCCCAGATATTTCAAGCCGTTAGCAGTCCTCTCAATGGTACCTAGGGCGGGATTTCGCGTTAATTTCCAGGGATCATCGCGATTTCTGGAAGTTAACGCGCACTTTGCGTTTCAATCGCGTGACTTGGCACATTGGAATATCGTTTGATCCATGCAGCGCTGATATTGGTTCTTCTTGATAAGAAGTTCTTACCGTCGATCATGTCCGAAAGCCTTTTTGCCTGGCGATCCGGGCCGGGTTACCCGGCCAACCCGGCGGGCCCGCTAAACCCGGAACATGGGTAAAAAAAGACTGCCGGGTCACCGGGGCCGGGCCGGGGAAGCGGGTTCAAAGGCTGCCGGGCCGGGCCGGGCCGGGCGACTAGAAAATTGCCGGGTGCCCACCTCTAGCCCTGCTAGAAATACAGAACAACATGAACAGCGAGGTCTACCAATCCATGCTGGAGATGAACTTGCTACCATTCCTGGAAGCGGGGGAGGAGGAAGGAATCGAGTACACCTTCCAACAAGACAATGCGAGGCCTCACGTATCTTCTTCAACTAAAGAATGGCTGGCACGCAATGGCGTGGCAACCGTCCAGTGGCCAGCAGTGAGTCCAGATCTGAACTGCATCGAGCACTGCTGGGGCAGGATGGCTCTAGCCGTCTATGGAGGGGGTAGATGCCCCTACAGTACCAAGGATGTACTCCGACAGGCAATTTTTAAAGTCTGGGATGACCTGACACCCGAAGATATCAGCACTCTCTCACTAAGTCGACTCGCAGTCGCTGTGTAGAGGGGATTAAGTGTCAAGGTGGCCCTACGAGGTACTGTTAGTTTCTTTTTGTGTGAATCGTGTCTCCTCAGTGACAGGAATGTTGAATTACAGTGCCAATTTAAGATGACCTTGGTGGGTTCTATTTTTTTGGAAGCGCGGAAAAATTGACCGTTTCAGAAATTTTACTAAAGCGAGCGAATAATGATACGACTCTGATATATTTTTGTTCCTACATAAGTGATA